TTGTTAATGCGAAAACTGGCAATGAGTCTTTCACATCGCTGTGGAGGATTTTCGGCCCACTCTTCTTTGCAGAATTGTTTTAATTCAACCACATTGGAGGGTTTTCGAGCATCAAACGATGTTTAAGGTCATGCCACAGCATCTCGATTGGATTTAAGTTCAAACTTTGACCAGGCCACTCCAAAACTTTCATTTTGTTTTTTTTTTGAGCCATTCAGAGGGTGGACTTGCTGGTGTGCTTCGGATCATTGTCTTGCTGCATAACCCAAGTGCACTTGCGCTTAAGGTCACAAAGTCTGTCCAGGTCCTGAATAGCAGCAAAACAGCCCCAGACCATCACACTACACCACCCACGTTTGACTGTCGTAGGATGTTCTTTTTCTGAAATGCTGTTTAGTTTTGCCAGATGTAACGGGACGCACACCTTCCAAAAAGTTCCAATTTGTCTCGTCAGTTCCACAGAATATTTCCCCAAAAGTCTTGGGGATCATCAAGATGTTTTATGGCAAATGTAAGACGGGCCTTTGTGTTCTTTTTGGTCAGCAGTGGTTTTCGCCTTGGAACTCTCACATGGATGCCATTTTTGCCCAGTCTCTTTCTTATTGTTGAATTATGAACACTGACCTTAACTGAGGCAAGTGAGGCCTGCAGTGCTTTAGATGTTGTTCTGGGTTCTTTTGTGACCTCCTGGATGAGTTGTCGATGCGCTCTTGGAGTAATTTTGTAGATAATGGCTCTCACTGTGGTCGCTGGAGTCCCAAAGCCTTAGAAATGGCTTTGGAACCCTTTCCAGACTGATAGATGTCAATGACTTTGTTTCTCATCTGTTCTTGAAATTTCTTTGGATCAGGGCATGATGTGTTGCTTTTTGAGATCTCTTAGCTGACTTCATGTTGTCAGACAGGTTCTTTACAGCTTTCCAAAAAATGTGATTAATCACAGTTAATTCATGATTTAACAAGTGGGGGCAATTACTTTTTCACATAGGGCCAGGTTGGTTTGGATAGCTTTTTTCCCTTAATAAATGAAATCATCATTTAAAAACTGCTTTGTGTATTTACTCAGGTCATCTTTGTCTGATATTAAAATTTGTTTGATGATCTGAAACATTTAAGTGTGACAAAAAAGCAAAAACAAAAGAAATCTGTAAGGGGGTAGATACTTTTTCACAGCACTCTATGTACATATATTGCATTTGCATATGGCTCAGTTTGAATGGTGACATGAAAAGCAGCTTTTGACTTGTTTTATATGATTGAAGTTTTAGCTGAACTTAAGTTCATATCTTTGCATACTCTTAAAACATTCTCATGTCCACATTTTACATTTTGCTGTGGAATAATTTGATGTTACATCACCAATGGACAAACCTTGAGGAAGAGCTCCATCTTCAGGTAATATTTTGTAACTAGCAGGATTCACAATATTCACCCTCAGTTTAGTTTGAAGAGTATGTGTCTGGTTGGGGATCGAAGTTGCCAATTTCATGAGTCCAAGAGTCGCCTTAGAAGTTTCAACAAAAGCATATATTAATATTCAAACTGCTCAAGTGATTTCATTTAGATAGCTGTCTGAGGCACAAAGAGATAAAACACTCCAATAATTCACAGAGAAACTTTGTGGTTTCTTCTCTCTTATTACATGACTCATCTCACAACCCGCCTAAGGGTGTAATGGCACCCATAGGATGTTAGGATATATTGAACTACATAAGTGTATAAAAGGTAGTCCCATTTCAAGCAGCCACAACAGATGGTTACACATGGAACAATCCAATAAATTTAAAAAGGCAATGTAAGTAACATCTGGATTATGACTTTTAATTGTAATACTTCACAATTATACATTATGTTGATAATACTTGTGTCCTTTTACTTAAGAAGGATTTTGAATGCAGGACTTTTTTTCTCTCTTCCCACATGTTGTTATAACCTATATGAATATTGCTACAACCATGTGAAGAAACTTGTCTGAAGCTGCAGCTGTTAAAACTATGTCCTCCAGGCGTAGATAATGTGTATTACTGCAGCTCTGATTAGAGAAACAAAACAGCGCGCCGTTCCCTGCATCAACAAATGAGTGAAATTGAACTGCAGCCAGCACCAGTTTCCTTTCCGGAGAAAATGATTCCCTCGGTTTACCGACGAATCGGTGGTCTCTGGTGAACCTGCGCCACTCAGAGCGCGGAGAGCGTCTGACGCGCTCAGCCAATAGGAGAATGCAGAGGATTTAGGCTAGATGCGCCATTTTACTGCGTCCACAGCTATCCGGCAAGATGGTCTCTTTGCTTTGTCTCCCCTGACCGGAGTTGTTTCGGTATTCAGTTGCTATTCTTGCCTCCAAACCATCGAGAATCTGAAAACTGGACTGAACCGTTCGTCTGTAACAAAAAACACAACACATCTCTGTCAGTCAAGAAATGACGGCGGTGAAAAGCAGGTAGGGGCACAGTTAAATCGGTTTGTTTGGACAAGTATTTTTTTTACATTGAATACTGTGCTGCTTTTGCTAGCGGCAAGCCGGGCCATGAGTACCCATTGCTAGTTGCAAGCTAGGCTAGTCGAGTAGTGGCTACTAGCTGCGCAGCCGGCAATATTCAAGTTCGTACACATGCATATTCAATGTACACATGCGTATTCCAAGATGTTTGTCAATGTGAATAAAACATGCGCTTCTGTGTTGCAATTGCTTGGTTTGTGTTGTAGCTAGTTAAATGTTGCAGTGCTACTTTGGGTGCTGCTAAAAAGTGCCAGGCTGCGGTTAGTGCGCTGGTTCGAGCCACGGTATCGTCGGAGGAAGGAAAGGCCTGTGCATGCATTTTTCGGTGCATGCCCATGCACTGGACCCTGCATGCACTGCCCAGATTGCAAGGTTGCCAGGGCAACGTGGAGCACTGAGAAGAAGTTGTTCAGCGTTAACGGCGGTAGCTAAATCAGCTAATGTTAGCAAGCCTCAACTTGGCTTCCCGAGAGTCAGGAGTTCCTGTGTTGTCGAAACAGGGTAAGGCTGCGCTGAGGAGAAAGAGCTGCAAATGCAGAAGCGTGAGGTACTTGTTGGGCGAGTGGGCTCTGTATCTGTTTTTCGACTGACACATGATTATGGAATTTAATTCAGGCCTGGTTGCTGTTGGCAGGACTTGAAGTTGTGACGTTCACGAACGAACCGAATCTTTTGACCGGCTCATTAACATGAACGATGGGACACCGAGTCGCGTTTGGTTGGGAGCCGTTCTTTTTTCTCTTTTTTTTTTTTGTATTAGTAGTACTAGTGGGCTGTATGCACATTTTTTTCCTCTAATTTATTGTAGTTTTATCTATTTTTCTAATACTTGAAGTATTGCTTTTGAGTTTTCTATTCAAAATATTCTTGTGTGAAACGTTTTTTCTCTAAAATTTGCGACTAAAAACAAGACATGGTGTTACTGAACCACAACTTAGTATTTATTTTTTACAGCACCTTTAATCTTTATTATAAAGCCTTTATTATATAATTTTAAAAATATTGTTTTGAGTTTTTCTGTATTGTTAAAAATGTTCTTGTGTGGAAATTTTGCACTAAAAGCTTTTGCATGGAACTTCATTGTAGCCTGCTTTGTTTTTTATTGTGTGTATTTATAAGTGTTTAGGTGTTGCATGAATAGCATAAGTCAAAGTAGTTTTTACACACATACACACACTTTATACAAAGGGTAAATAGTGATCTCACTGTCACTCAGAGGGATATGGCAGTGGAATATTTACAATGAATCCATATCAGACTTTAAAATCTTGTCCACACATGTCAAATGAAGCTATAATCAATATTTTCAGAATAATTCAAACTCAAATATTGGTGGGAAATCTGAGTTTGAAATTATTCTGATCCAAATCTCAGCCCATCATTCTCCCTGTGATTATTTCCAGAATAAAAATGAATGAAACCCCAAGACTGGCTTCTTAAAAGTGAATAAATATAAAAATGAGCCAAATGAGCCAGTCTTTTGAATGGCTCTTTGAAATGAACGGATCCCAAAGATCCGGCTCCCTCCAAAGAGCATAAATCCCATCTCTAGCAGGACTGACTGAAGGCTGAGCACAGCTCATAGCGATCTAATCAGCACATTATGATGATGCAAAACGGCGAAATAACACAGCGATGCCTCTGTCTCAGAGTGATGTGCTGCAAATAAATGCATGTTAAATGCAGTGATTTTTAATGTTTTACCAACGATATATCCTGTTTCTCTCTGATAGCCAGCATTGTCGTTGTCTTTCTTGAAGACTAAGGAAAGGTTTGTTCATTAACATCAACTTAAAAGTGCAAACTGAGTTTTAGGAGTACTTCTCAGTATTTTGTGTTTTTGTACCTTATCTTTCAGAAATTTGTGGGCACACCTGGCAATCATCATGAAACAGACCCCTGCTCCAGACAAAAAGAAAAAGATGTGAGTTTTGTGTAATGCTAGATGCAAATTTTTTCTTTTTCCTCATTTACAATGTAATTTTGAACTCTCTCTTCTGTCTGTGCGCCTCCCGTAGCTTTTGAGGTGGATCATGTCCATGTGTATCTGGCTTACAACAGAGGAGAGTATGCGGCAGTCACTGATGAAACTAGAGAGGCCAAGAACCTCTAAAAGTAGCATCTCTCTCTTTTTTACGCTTGATTGCAGTTGTTGCCGCCAAGGGTGGCACAACCAGTTATCAGGTTTAGGGGGCAATTTCTTTTTCACATAGGGCCAGGTTGGTTTGGATAGCTTTTAAATGAAATCATCATTTAAAAACTGCATTTTGTATTTTCTCAGGTCATCTTTGTCTGATATTAAAATTGGTTTGATGATCTGAAACATTTACGTGTGACAAAAAAGCAAAACAAAAACTTATATCTTCGTATATTCAGAGGAATTCAGAGAAAATGAAAGTGAATTGGATTTTTCCTCCTGTCACATTTTCCTCTTCCTAATGTGTGGGATAAAGCCCTAACTATTTCCTATGTGCCTACACACCACATTCATTTTGACGTGACAGGAAAAGGTATTACTAATGAATACATTAATAATGGCTGCATGCTGGCTCACTGTCACACACCACAATGGAATTGGGGTCATCGTTTATTTCAACAGCTACAACTCTGGTTTTCTGCTGTGACAAGTCAAAATGTCAGTTGTGTATAAAAACTCCATAACATTACATTTAACTGAGGACCCAGCCATTAAAAAACTACAGTTAATACAATTTGAATACGACAGGTTATCAAAATCAAATTCTATTATATTGTAACATATATAAATTATATTGCAATTATATTATTTGGTCATCCTTGGATATTACGTTATTTTTCCATCCTTGCATATTAGGACAACCTTCATAAGATGTTAACACAAGATGGTAGCTGAATATTCTTGGTGAGAGATTTGCAGATAAGGAATTAACAGGTAATTGCTTATCACTAAGAAGTCTATGCAACTAGTGGAACATTTGATAGTAACACATCATCCTTATTTGGTGTGTTCTTCCTCTGACGTGTCTATAGATTGTGGTCTGAGAGTGTCTGAGTGTCAGCATGATGACAATATAAGCAGGAACAGTAGGAAGAGTGTGAAAGGTATTCAACTTTTGTGCTCAACCTGGCAGCACTGTCTCAGTCTCTTTCAAAGAAATGAGGAACTTCAACATTCAAAGTTTTACACTGATGATGGATGATGATGATGATTGGAATGACCTGTGCAGCACCAAAGCACCACAGGAACAACACCTTCAGCAACGACATCATGATGCAGATTTATAAAGAAGCAGAACATCTTAAGCACCAAAAGGTAAGACAACTACTAAACTACAAGTGGTTTGGTTGTATGTTTTGCAATATACTGACAGTTTTCTCTTGTCATTCCAGCTGCCAGATAAATTTGTGCCATTTAGATCAGGACATGTCAAATGCGTGGTATGTTGGAAACCTTCTATAATTATTGTGATTATTGCACAGAGTGGTATTTGGCATCTGTCAGGTTTAGTAGGTGTAATTCCAACATTTTGTATGGAACATGTAAACTACTGAAGATTAAGATGTTTCTGGACCAAACTCCAGCTTGTTGGATACCATTGCTAACTGTGTCCTTCTCTACACAGGTAAAGTTCTTCTGTTTGGCTGGGAAATCTCTGAGTACAACAAATCTAAAGGAAGCAGAAAAACTCACCCGTCTTTTGGTTCAGTACAACAACAAGGTAAAGAGGAACTCATAATGCATTTTACTCCTAAACCAAACCAAAATTCATAAACAAAATTTCATATGGCTTGCAGTGACTGTGTAGGACATTTGTTCTAAAATTGAATATGCTATTTAATGTCAAGCATGGTCTGCATTGTTTTAGTTCTGTGCTCAGGTGGATGTTTGTGCACTTAAAATTAAAGTTATCAAAATGATTTTCTTTCAGACTGGGATTGTCAACTGTACGTTGGACGAAAACATCCGAATCACTCTACATGAATTAGTGAACGATATCGACAATTGTTCCCACAGGAAAATTGAGTAAATGTAACAGAGGGAGTGGTCATATGTATTATTTAACACATGTAATATACGTAAATTATTTCTATTTATTGTAAAATGTAATATCTATTTTCTTACATTTCTTATTTTTGTACCATTTATATTTATGTATCAATAAATTATGACAGCAGTTCATTGTCAAGGTTTCTTATTTTTCTACGTGCCTGCTTACAGTGGGTTTTTTTGGTATCGGCAATCCATCCAGTCAACCAACAAGACTTTTCAACATGAGACTATTTTTTAAGAAATCAATTACTCACTGGGTTTACAGAAATGCAATTAAAAATAAGCTGCTTATAGCTGTTACGTGTCATTACAACCTATTTTCGAAGATCCAATAAACAATCAATAATATCAGTGATTTAACACAGAGAAAGATAAACAAGAATGGGAGGTAAAACATGTAAAATAATTTAATAAATAAAATATCCAGGGGTTTGGTGGGTGTAAACATTTGACATACATTATGATACAAAATAAAAGCCAGTTTGTCTCCACTACAGAACATCATGACATTAAATGATCTCCACAAAAACCTCATACCACAGTATTATACTAAGGCATACACTATGCATGATGCATCTCAATATAACACAGAGTGTTCTGACATATAAAAATAAAAAGATGACTTGCTTAAATTAGCAAATGGCACTAACATAAGAGCTGGCTGGCATGCATGCCCCTATGCTTCTGACCTAAAGGAAAAAGTAGAAAGCGCACTTTTCAGTTACATACTTGATACTACATACACTCTTCTCCTTGTTCCACCTACATTAGTGTTTATTTTGTTTCTCTCCATGTTGATGATTTCATGTATTCAGTGGGAAGAAACACTAAGGCTACAGCTTGTGCACAAAAAGATTAATTTAAGTGAAAATGAATTATTAGAATTGAATTAGAATTCAGTTATCATGTGTTCATATTAGCACGGGCCATTTAATATGAATCAGTTTGTCACATAGTAGGAAATCAGTAAAACAGAGGTTAAGACTTAATCTGTGTGGTATTCATCGCAAAACACTTGAGTTAAATACACTCAACATAGGAGATATGAATGCTGTTCCTATGTGCAAATTCTGCTTTCAGCATCCCATCAAATCTGCAGATTCTTTTAGATTGTTGATCGTTTTCTAAACTATTGATGTTGCAAGTAAAATATATTTATGGAAGATTTCCTTCTTAAAGTACTTGTACTTAAAAGAATGAACTTAATTAAGACAGAGCCTGCTGCCATTGAAATGCGCCCAAGCAACATTAAAATTCTTACACCATAATACAAATAACAGGTCCTCTTGGCCAAGAGGTCTTAATCCTACCATGAGTGCTCTCCAAACAACAGCACAAATTTATTTATATTTCAGATTTAAACCATGTCAGCTATACAGTGCATTAAGATAATCTTTTAAATAATGTTCAACAATAACTTTTAGACTTGACAAATGACTTCTTTTCATAGGGTAACATGAAAGTTGCAGTCAAACGTAGCCCTCCTCTACGCTGTCTTTACTGCAGAAGGGATTCGATCACAGCGTTTGGCTTAGCAGATCTTTTCCTGTGTGGAGATGAGTGCATGATAAATGTTATCAACAGCTTCAGAGAGCTTTCAGCCATCTCATTTCTCAGAATAACAGAATATCATGATAACAGCAAATAACATGCTAACGTATCATTATCGACATGCTATATATAGACTAATTATACAGTGACCCCAAACATCCACAACCAACAATTCTTCTGTTTACTTAGCAGTATTTGATGTAGTCTAACTTAAGTACAAATGAAAGACTGTTAAAAAGCGTTGTAATGGCGAGGGGCTAATATTTGCAGAGCTATGACTGTGCATAAATGACCAGAATGAAAGTTTTTGCTTTTCAGAAATACCCCATTCACACTTAGTCACTTGTGTTGTCATGTGGCAAAACAGGGATTTGATATGAAAAAAGGCTGAGTGAAAAAACTGTTTAAACCACTTTGCAAGGTGGTTTGAAAAGGTGCAAATGCATCAGTCTCTCCAAGACACATACAAAATCATTACTCCTCTTAAGTGTAACTATGCTAGTGAATGGTCTGTGGAAGAGATTATTTACGAGAATGCCTTGTAACATTGAAATTACACTGAAACCAGCTATCTCACTCCCTGTCACATAATAAGCAGCAGCGAGAGAACAGCTTGCGATTTAAATTAGTATTAATGTTCCCCTGCTGTAGCCTGATGAGTGTAACCCCAGAGTCATCCATGTGTTTGTGTTAATAGATGGATAGTTATTAGCTAGGCTGCTAAACTTTTGTTGTAACTAAACAGTTCCTGATGCAGACCCACCACCCTCTGGACTAGGCTGACCCAGGTTTGCATGTAACCCAGGAAACCAAGATTGATTCGATCAGATTTATGAATTAATCAACAGAGACATACATATGAATCTCAGTGTTAACCCAAGTGCATTAAATCGTATGACATGACCCTGAGAAACTACATGGTGGACTGTATGAGTAATGTTCAACAGGATGTGCAGCTTCAGGCTGTGTGGAAAGCAGATTACCTTCGTCCTGTCTTGGGTCGACCACTCTTGCTACTTTTAGAGGTTCTTGGCCTCTCTAGTTTCATCAGTGACTGCCGCATACTCTCCTCTGTGTAAGCCAGATACACATGGGACAGATCCACCTCAAAAGGCTACGGGAGGCACAGACAGAAGAGAGAGGTCAAAATTACATTGTAAATGAGGAAAAAGAAAAAATTTGCATCAGCCATTACACAAAAACTCACATCTTTTTCTTTTTTGTCTGGAGCAGGGGTCTGTTTTCTCATATTGTTGCCAGTGTATGCCACACATTTCTGAAAGATAAGGTACAAAAACACAAAATACTGAGAAGTACTCCTAAACTCAGTTTGCACTTTTAAGTTGATGTTAATGAACAAACCACAGTGTGTGCATGAGTTATGCCAAGTGATCTTACCAGCTGCCATTCTCCAATGTCTTCATTCCAATGCACGTAATTCTCTATCATCTCCTACACAGGGAAATATGAGAAAATACTATGAACAAGGATAGATATTGTCATGGATGCAAAGCACCCAAAAAACAGCTTATATCATCCAGCTGCAGAGCTGCAGTGTCAGCAAGTTCATTCAATGTGCAACAGCGACAGGAAAAAGAGCTTCTTTAATTTGGACACATGTGCCACCTGCAGGCAATGATTGTTAGAAATGTAGTTTTTTATAGCTGCTGTTTATTTTGAGGTTTTAGTAGTTACATTTCAAACCTGTAAATTCTAAAAATGTAATTAATTGAAGCATATTCTCTGTGTACCATCTATTCTGTCCTTCTAGACTGTCCTTCTAAAGGGATGTCCAAACTGGATCTTATTTTTGTACAGAAAAACCGTGATGCTACCAGAGAAAAAGACTAATGTTTTTATTTAATTTAGTGCCTTTTCTTTGTGTGCACAGATGTGAGGAACAACTGAAGTTATAGGTATAAGGTAAAGTATTGAAAATTAGACAGAGCCGCAGTGCTATACATGCAAGTACACAAACAAACACACACCTGGTATTCCTGGGGAATAAAATTGTCTATAATGAGCATCTGGAGCCGGAGCTCTCGGCTCAGCTGGCGGATGTTCTCCAAGAGACCTTCAATCTCTCTGTGATGCTCTTGCTGTAGATCTGCCATCTAACAGACAAAACAAAACAACCACATTATGGATCATTATCCTCTCTTCACCTGATCAATCAAAACTAACTAGAGACATGGATTGACTTCAGAAAATTATCATAAATTATAGTTAATCTTACAATTACTCTGATTAAAGAAATATATTATTAAATTTTGAATAGGAATTCAGTGTTCCAACAGTACCAACAGTCTTGGTGCAAATGACTGTAAATGTCCTGTACTGTATGATTGTCCCTTTATATGACACCACCCTGCTGCCCTGACAGGGGATTTTAAATGATCACTCTCAGTGTTGTACTTACTTCTGATTTGGCAGCCATCAGCATGGTCCATACTTTCTTCAGCTTCTTGGTCTTTCCTTGAGCCTCCTCCTGCAGGCTTGTGTATTTCTCTTCTATGTCCAGACGCTCTTGCTGTTTTAAGAGGGAGAGGTTTTCAATGTTTATGCAGAAGGAAGTTCCTGCAAGCAACCTATGGTCTGTGGTTGTGACTTTAAAAAACCTATATAGATGAAGGGGGCAGATATGAAAAACTTTTCATACATATTAGAAATAGTTTTCAAATCCTGATGTTTGCATCTCTTCAAACTGAAAGGAAACCTGCCCCTTGGCTTTTGTAGACTGCAGATGGTGATTTCTTATGTCATATCCTGTAATCCACTGCAAGGTTATAGACTGCTGATGTTGTGTGTGTGTGGGTACTATTTTACTACTTGAATTGTGGAAATGAAATTTTTTATGCCAATACAAACACATCACCTTATTGAAGTTACAGTTTTCAATATGATAAATAAATAATAATAAATACTGCACATATTCTTGTAATCATTTATGCTGGGAACAGCATGACATGACTAATATAAATACTCATTATTAGTTGAGTTTAGTTAGCCCTAGGTAGTCAGACAGTTTTTAAAAAAAAATGGTATTGGTAACTGTCATCTACACTTACCTCTTTCTCCTCTAGTTCCTTCCGCAGCTGCTCCGCTCTCCTGCGACGTTCTTCAAGTTCATTGTTGGACTCCTGCAAGAGCTTCTCCTGCTCCTCAGCCTTGGCCAAGAGGTCCACCCCGCCCACAATCACCTTCTTCTCTAAAGCCGACAGTTTCTCCAGCAGAAGGTGGTGCTCCTGCCTAAGAGGTAGGGGAAGATCAGGTATGAAATTAATGATATTACTGATAACTAGGAGGTAGGGTATACAGGACAAACCTTCATACTGCAAGGTCCACAAAAATTGAAAGAAGACATTACAAGTTATTTGATTTGCAATACTGTGTATACCACATTCAAGGATTTCATCCAAAAATATGTTTCTTTTTGTGGACTCACTGGGCTTTAAGCAGGTCCTTCTCCCTCTTCTCCAGTTCTGCTCTTGCCTTGTTCCTCTCCTCCTCCTCCATGTCCAACTTGGCCTCCAGAGCCTTTCTTTCCTCTTCAATTTTTGCCTGCATTTCCACCATCTTGTCTGGAGAAACCTTCTTCCTCCCTTAAGAGAGACATACAGGGAACCATAGTGTCTTTAATGCACAGGTTGTTTTAGCTGTACCTTCTCAGTGTATAGGTTAGAATGATTGGAATGCAGATTCATTCATTTTATACTGTGTTTTTTAATCAGCATTAGTATTATTTAATCTGTGCAGTTTAGTTCATAAATTTGCACTACAGAAGTCAAATTTATGAGTTTTTGGAAGGAACCTCAGTCCTAACAGTGAGTGCCAGTGAGATCCAGCTGCACAAAGTTCTGACTTGCTAATGCACAGTATTAAATAATTATTGTTAGTGTAAGCAAAATTTTAAAATAAAGGCAGCTGTCAAGATTCTCTGAATGACATGGAGGTTAGGAGGATATTTAATATGACACCCATGGCAGTGAGCCTGTCATCAGATTAGTCAGAATTAGTGAAAATTAAAAATTAAAAACACATGGCGGCCATCTGGATAATTTATGCGAGTAGAGACACCATTGCTACCAGACAGGAGGACCATGTAGATTCTCACACCAACCTCTTTCTTCTTGAATTAAGAGGTGTATAGCAAGTCAGACAGGCGGCATTTGCACCAGGAGGAGAAAGAGAGACAACACATTACAGATTAATCTCAAAAGTCTTATGACTCTACAAAGTGGAAAACCACATATAAGAAAGGAGTGGGAAGAGAAATCAAACTATAGAGAGAACTAAAAATGATCAAATTTCTTAGGAGAAGTGACAGTGATTAGACATGAGGCAGGAAATAAAAATAAATCACTTCACATGATGAAACATGATGTAGGTGAATTGTGTCTTTGAAGTACAGTAGTTACAGACTACATAATAAAGTCTGGAAGAGGTGTACACTGAAACTGATGAGATCACTGTGCAGAAATAGCCTATGATGCCAAAACTGTCATTTTGGTCATGCGTAAAAAAAAGTAAGACAAAATGTACTGTGTCTTATACTGTAGGAAAGTGTCAATCCTTTAGAAAGATTGGTTCAACTGTGCAACAGTCCAATGTGAATTCAGGGATTTGTTCCAAAACATCTTTGCAAGGTTGCAATCATTTTCATGTTAATTCTAACAATATGTATTTGGGACATAACAATACAGGAGTTCTGTCGGTAGCGGGGGTGGGGATTGGGTGGGGGTCTGGGCTGTGTCTACAAGAGAGGCATAGGGTTACAAAGGGAAAGTATAAAGCCCCTTTCACACATGCAGTGTAATCCATAAATTCTCAAAATTCACTTATTTGCCTACCTAGGATGTAGGACAGCTCAAATGTCAATAAAATAATTGACACAATAGAGAGTACACCTCTCACTCTTCCTAGGCTGCACAACTTTCTTAAATTACAAAATACGAATAATAAAATATGCATGCTCATTTAGATCTGGATCTGACACATAGTGACAGACAGTAACAGACAATTATGGGGTACATGTAATAAATAGGGGAAAAAAGATTTTAAGAAATCCTTTAAAAGGAGAACCCCGGTGGTCTTGTTGTTAAGACAGTGACCATGACACACAACATCTGACTCGCGTCCAACCCGGGACCTTTGTTTGATGTCATTCCCTATCTCTTTTCTTTTTTTCAGTTATATTTTTTGGGCATTTTTGCCATGGCTGCTGCAGTTAGGACTAAGCCTATGTGCGCTCTGTCATTCTCTATCTCTCTCTTCCCTCATCATTCCCTCTTCCTGTGATCTCTCTACTGCCAACTATCTGATCAAGGCTTAAAATAATACATTAAAAAAATTTAATAATATATAAAATAAATAAAAATAAATAATTTAAAATCATTCAAGATTCTACAACAGGATCTAAGTTAGAACCAAAAAACAATTCCTCCCTTGACCGTATATGTCCCAAAAAGGGGTTTTCTGATGTTAGGTAAATCTAAACTTTTCATCCAGGCCTGCAGTATTACACTATACATCTTTTGATTGTTTGCGCCCTTCTTGAGAGAGCTCTGAAACTTACTTAACATACTATCTAAGAAACACTAGAGTGAAAAATGATGTCAACCACTTTACAAAGGAAATACTACAAATGACAAATGGTGTTAGACAAAACCAAAGTCATCAGGAAATCCCCCTAAAAACCACCTGCATACACAGTGAAAAACATATCAGTCAAGTTGCTCTTGATTTTCAACTTTCATTCATTTCAACTGTTTACACAAAATAAATAGAAAAATTGTTTAACTACAAAAGCTACAGACAGCATGCAAGCAAATCAGGAGATGAAGAGAGAAAAAACAAACTGACACTATGTCATATTTAATTTTTGATAAAATTGACAAGGGGAGCTACAGGGTGTTTTGAAAACTATTGGGAATGCTAAAGTGGGGGCAAGCCTAACAAAGCACTATCAGTGCTCAACAACTAAGTCATGAAGATAAACAGCCCATGAATTGCAAGACATCCTCTCTAATCATTTAGACAGCCTGTGCAATATGAGAACTGATACATTCTTCATCTGTGGTGGTATTTTTTGCAGCCTGATATCCTCCAACAGTGACAGAACTGATAACAACACTCAACATTGTATTTTCCTGTACAGAAGAGCTCAGTGTATACACCAAAAACACTGCCTTGTGTTCATAATTAAAACCAGCAGTTATGTGGCTTCCATGTGTGAAAGGGGCTTATGTTTGTGGGCAGGTGGGTTGGTAGAGCAGATTGCTGCTCCAACTCACTATTCTGAGGTTTGTTCTCAGTGGGTGGTGACACTGAGGAGGAGCAGGCAAATTCTGACCTATTGCTGCTGCTACTGCTGCTGCTGTTGCTGTCTGGAAAAAAAGCATAGGAAGCAGCATACCCACCAACTCCACAGTGAGAAACAGTTTGACATAGAGATGGAGAGCTAAATGTAGGTCTAACAAATCAGGCAGCTGTGGTTGCACACATGCAAATTAAAGATTCAGTACTGCACCATACTCACAGAAGCTGAATGATTTGGTTATTATTAATTCAGAATAACCCAATACTAAAGTACTGGAAAGAATAACAATGACAAATAAAGAGAGACCAATATAACCAACCTGTAACATGACCTGGCAGAAACATTAGTGTTAGCATTGCAACACAATGTGATGACCTAATTATGGTTGTTCATCTCTATTAAAGCATTTCCACTTATAAAAGAGTACAGGGTAAGAATATAAGGGGAACTCCTAAATGAGAAAAGTGTTATGTTTATGACAGCCTGTTAACCATGAGTAGAGGTTAACCACTGACCTAAAAAGCAACTTAAGCTTGATAATTATCACATGAACTTAATGCTGACTCATATTACAATTAACATACTGATAAGAGTCGAAACTAGATTTTACAGATATTTATCCAACCATTTATCAAAACCGCATATGAATCCATAGCATGAAAAAACACTCCTCACAGGCGTACAAGATCGTGTCATTAGATTTTCAGTCACTTGCTCCAACTCACTGCACCCTTGAATCTTATGTGCAGTACTAAAATTCTTACCTCTTCTTCTTCTACGGCCCTCTCCTGCCTCCCCTCCGTCATCATCACCTTCATCCATCTCTTCTGATCCACTGCCCTCTGAGCCAGAGATCTCTTCACCTAGAATCGTACAAAACAACATTTTAAAATGATATGGCTATGGATATGTCTTCAAAGTCCTTGAGGAAATATCAGAAATGCTGTTTTTTGTCCCAGCCGGCTAGAGGGGTATGTCAGTGTTTGATTGACAGCAGGTGGCAAGCTTCTGCCAGTGGAGAAAAAGTAACAAAGTAAACAAACCTGCACTGTAGCTACAAGTCATGGGCGGACAGTGTGCTGTTAGCAGTGATTTTAAAGAGAAAGACCCACACCAGCATGTAACCAGACCGAAGCGACATTTTTAGGTGCGTTTAAATGCTTTCTAATGGAGCTAACCAGCTGCAGCCAACCAGCTCATTAGCTATCTAGTCATTAAACTGATGTTAGCTGTGCACTTTTTCCCGATGAATATTTGTTTGGTCGCTCTTTCAACGTGATAAGGTGGAGGATGAGATGTGTGTTCTACTTACAAGAAGGAGAATTAAGCAGGAGAGCTAATCTGGGTTATTATTAAGAGCTTTTGTGTTGGTTAACTGACTGACTGAGCATTACGGTCTGCTCAACCTATGATAGAAACCTGATGTTACTGCTTTATGCAAGAGTTGGCTGTACTGAAATAAGATTCCCATCGACGTACATGTCCATCAAAATAATGCAAAACCAAGGGGCAGCATCACAAAATCTAAAATCTTTCTGATTTTTTTCTCAAAGGAGAACTCTGGACAAGTGATTTATAGAGTAGATATGTGTGCAGTAAATTTGCAAAGCTTTAACAAAATGCCTGTAATCCATACTACATAATTATTGTTATACTGTTGAGCTCATTACCTTCCTCCAGTTTCTTCTTCAGCTCCTCAATCTCCTTCTGAAACTGGCGCAGCAGAGCATCCTTAGGATCCTCATTGATCCTGGCTTTGTTCTTGATGTTTTTAGCCCTATTGGCATAGCGGAGGGTACTGATGGTCTCGTCGTAGTTATAGTCTGCAGGGCCTATATTTGCACACTGGTGAGAAGAATAAATCATTTAAATGTGAGACAAAAACAGTAATGTCAATGTTGAGTATGGCAAAATGCTTTGAATTTACACATTGACGCATTAAATTTGCACATTTATTGGTCTCTGAAATTTGTTGCTCAGAAGACCAGAGTTTTTGTGCAACTCTAGTACACGTTTCTAGTATTGTTTTGAAACTTTCACTGTACCATCATGGTTTTAGAGTTTCCTCCGAGTGAATCCTGCAGCAGACGGGTTAGTTTGGAGTTCCTGTAAGGAACGTGTGTGCTCTTGCCATCCACCAAGGCAGAGATGACATTACCCAGTGTGGAGAGAGAGAGATTGATTTTTGTTGCTTCCTTTAAACGCTGACCGGTGGCTCCAGTCTTGCCTTGTCTTTCTGAACCCTGTAGGAGGGGGAGGGTGTTAGATTCATTGGTGCTGGCTAGATTAATCATGGGCGACAAGACACATATCATATTTACATCAGTCTCATCTATTTTTCTAAGAAGTAGTTTATTTTCTGAAATTTCTGCCCACAGATACATACTGCCAGGTCAACCAGATGAAGTTTTCCCATGCGCACATGCTGGTTTCCGTCCACACCCTTCTCACTACACTCGATAGTGATGGTGAAGATAGCATGAGAGCGAGAGCTGTGTTCATTCATGTTTGTGGCACCAACAGACCCTAAACATAGTGAAATAAACGATTGTGAACTTTCAAATGTGAGATGAAATGATTATTTTTTTTATCATTATCTTAATTTCATCAAATTTCTGTTCAAGCAGTTTCTGACTATTAACAGCATCTTAAGTATTTTTACACATAAGCCCATAGCTTAACAGTTTCTATGTATTATATTTTAAATAAAGAATTTATTTTATTTTATGAACATCAGTTGGCTAAATCCACACAATATCATATATAATGAAAGATTGCATTATGTGATTTGTGATTTTACCACATATGCCATAGGTAAATATCTAAATTAAAAATTGGTATTTCATTTTCTTGGCATCCATTTCTGTCTTAATGCAATAAGTCGTTCTACTTACGGTTTTTGTGCCCCAGTGTCATAATCCTGTCCATGTCATCAGCATTGTTCACAACGTAACCAGAGAGGTCTTTGATGTACACACCAACATCTGGCCTTTCTTTAACCTAAAATGAAAAAATAGAACTTTATCATGGAAAACTGTACGATAATACGAGAAATCTGCTCAGCTACCTTTACAAGTGTTCACATTTGGGAAAAATGACTGTAGTGCCCTTTACAACCTCCATGACAGTTTTGTTATCAATCATTGAACTCTACATTATAAAAAGTTCAAAAGTTTCATGACACCTACATTTTTACAGTTACTGAAATCTACATTGTGCAATGTCTCAGTGTTGCTGAAGTTAAAACACAGAAGAAATAAATATAAAGATTTTTTAAAACAAAAAAAGAAATAAAAATTCTAAATTTGATCAAAATTTTTGACTCATAAAGCAGCTGAACACCCTAATGCTGTTACTTCTACAATGGAAATGAATCATTGTTTGGAAAGTTCTTTCCAACACTGTTGCAAAAGTTCCCACAGATGTGTTGCACTCGCAGTTTGCTTTGCTTTCAGCTTCAGTACAGTTCATCTAAACCAGCTCCATGGGGTTTAAGTCTGGAGACTGTGCTGCTCTTCAATCATGTGAAGCCACCGTCTAGTTCTCTTTTTGTAATATTTTGGGTGATTTTCTTGCTGTAGAATGAACCTCTGACCAACCAGTCTACCTTCCTTTTTTACTTGTCTTTCCTCACCATTATGATAGCAATATACAGTACTACTTCCTGCAGGACAGTATTGTATATTGCATCAGAAGGTGTAGTGAGACAGTTTGTTCCAACACTGCCTTTGTATAGACAGGGGGTTTCTAAGTCATCACCTATAGGGAAGTGTTTGCACTAACTTTCCAGGCTTCATTTACTTCCATTGCTGTAAGTTAACCAAGATGTTTTTTTTTTTTACCTTAGGTAGTTTACTGCTTACCTTTGTACCATTTAAGGTTATTCACTGTACTTGAACTGCTTGCAATAAAAAGTGGAAACTAAGGTGTTATAAACCTTGTGTTTGTCATGGTCTCAAATTTAAATATCCTTTACCTCTAGCCTCTGCATCTGATCCTTGCCCAACAAGTCCCGCACTTCCTCATTGTAAATCTCCAGGTATGAAACACGAACCAAAAACCTGTGAATGTTAAATGTGTATACAAAGTCAGATAAATGTAAAACTACAAAATGAAAAACCGGCTTTGCAAACAAATGTTTTACTCATCACACTTGTTTACAGTGTTTATATGGGGCATTTTATTCTGGTAATCGCATTCCCTAATAAAGTTTTAGTAGAAAAACAGGGAAGTATAATAGTAGTAAGTGCCATGCTGAGTGCTTTACTTCAAATGTTGCTTATGGTGGAGTGTGCAACACCAAAGCCATCATTTTATTTGGCAATCAAGTAAACACTTAAGTGGTAATTGTCAGCTGGACTGAGGGGGGAAGCTAACTTTTGTGTGGACAAAACTGTTTTTGTTAACTTACTGATTACTCTCTTACCTGGTGTCTCCCTCTGCCTTGGCAATGTGACCAAAAATATGTGCAAAGGAGTTTGGGATAATCCCTCTGAGTTCTGGCACTGCTCTCACACCCTCCATGGTGAATGTTTTTCCTGTGCCAGTTTGTCCATATGCAAAAATGGTGCCTGAAATGGATAGCAGAGTGTAAAATCACACCATTGGTGCCAGTATGGAAAATGGAAATGAAGATTAAAAAAAACAATAGCAATTATTATATTATCCCTGTTATCTAATTAAGATTACACTTAAAAGAGGCTATGTCCAACACTGAGGATTCTGATTTTACAGCAATGATTTATTGATAAAAATGAATGGCAATGTAACATTAAATGTACCATTGTAACCCTCTAATACTGAGTTGATGATGGGGCGGGCTGTGAGGTTGTAGACATCAAGCTGTTTGCTGTCTGGTCCAAACACAGTGTCAAAGGTGAAGGTCTTGGGAGGCTCCTGAGGAGTCTCCAGCTTGTTAACTGTTATGGTCCCACGGATCTCGTCCACAATGACGGCCTGTTTGTGGCCCATCATCTTCTCTTTCTGGTTGAGGGGACGACATCTCACCACCACCTTGACATTATCACTGACTTCCTGCTTGTCAGGTTTCTCAAGCTTATTGCTCTGTAAAACAACGGAATGCAATAAGAGATAGTCATATCATGAGATGTAAGATAATGTGTAGTGACAACTAACTATTAAAACTACAATCTCAGTTAAGCCACATGGGCATATGGCATAGTTGGCAAACTGTTGTAGGTAAAAATAATTTTAAAAACTCCTAGCTGTGTGTGTGCTGGTAGATTGTTAAGTGAGACGGACAAAACGTCAAACGAGAAGCTAGCTAACAGTCACTTGAACGTTATCAGTTTTACCGTTTGCTAGGTTGCTAGGCAAACGCTTACGTTAACACCGCTGACCACAGACAGCTAGTTTAAGAAATTCCAGTCAAAACTCCATGTGGTTAACACTTCATGCTAAATGGTTTGTGGTGACTGGTAAAAGCCAGCGCTGTGAACGGTGTAAAATGTCCTTATAAGAGCGGCAACTGGTAAGCTAACGGTGCTAACCGGTTAGCATCACATCAGTGAGGTCGGAGGAAGGGAGGAACCCCTTTCCAAACAAAACAAAAAAATGCAAAGAGGCCTGGCGACTTACCGGCATAGTGAGATTGCAGAAGGGAGATTATAATATGTGAATAGTGATAATAAAACGTTTGTAAGACTTCGTTCGTATGACGCTAGGTTATCCGAGGAATTTAAATGTCAACGTTGTGCCCATATCATCAGAATCAGAGGCTCACATCCGATAGCTTGTTGTCAGGTCTGTCAGGCTGCGCATGCGTGAAGGGCTTCAGCTGGCTGCTCACAGCACCTGCTGCAGTAAACAATACTAAAACTTTTATATTTCATGTATCAGGGACACATACATATAGGCAGGGTTTGGAAGTATGAGCACAGTGATTTTCTAAATATTCACACCCCTTCATTTTTTTATTATGTTATAGATTTAATTTTAAGTTGATAAAATTACCAACGACAGTTTCATTAGGTCACAAAGCACCCAGAAAAAAATCTGATTAATCGATGATTGATAGAATATTATTAAGACATTTTTTTATTAATCATTGGAGTCTTTTTTTGAGGCAAAAACGTCATAAAATTCACTGGTATCAGCTTCTCAAATGTGAATATTTGCTAGCTCCCCTTCATTTTCTTTGAAGGTAAACTCTCAGAAAAAAAGCTTAGTATTTTCTCTATTTTCTGACATTTCATACACCGAACAATCAATTGATTATTAAAGGAAATAATTCTAAGATGTATTGATAACTACTTCTGATAAGTACTTCTATAATACTACAAATTTGTTAATTATTTAACACAGAAACAATAAGAAATTTATTTAATAAAACAAATGAGCTCAATATCAGCTAAAACAGTTAAAGTCTACATCTACATTTTGAAGAGTCCCTCTACAAGAAAGAGGCCAAGAAGGACGATGCAGGACCTATCATAGTCGATACTGTACCTCAAGTGCTGCAAATTTCTCACAAATTTGTTACAAATGAAATTATGTGGTCCCACATAATGTGGAGGAAACCTGGAGGTCTGTGGCCCCTGGGCAGTCAGCCCAGCCAGCCTTGAGTACAGGGCAGTGGAATAAAGAACAATACTCCCCTCCATGTACATCCACCTGATGACCATGACCCCAGGGAAAAAATGAATAGCTGGGCCCCCACACAGAGAATCACTCTGACACTCAGTGACTTCCTATTATAAAATAGGCCTTATATGCATATTGACTTAGCACACAAACTATATGTGCACAACACTGAAATATTGAAGGTTTTAAAAGTAGACTGTGACTAGTATTAGGCTACTAAGTAAGTCGATAATAAAATCAGCCTTTGTCTGCAGATAAGTATCAACATAAATCCCAAAAATGCTTGAGTTTCTTTAGAAACAGTGTCTTCATTCCATAGTTCATAGTTCAACAAAAACATTTGTTTTTTATACGTTCATGTAAAAAAAAAAAAAGTCATACATGGTAATGACATTTTTTAAATTGGCCAATACTGACATTGGTATTGGCCTCAAAAATCCAGGTCAGGCTGTGATATTGAGCAGGGACCCTCTTCAAGACAAAAAGACAACAGGACCCATCTTAATTATACCCGTCTCTTATATTCCCAATTATCTTTTTAAGCATTTGAATTACCACCAGTTAACACACAGTGAACCAGTGGGGCCCTTAGCATTGAAGATAATCCAGCCTTGCTGTGGAGACAGGGTACAGAATAAAGTTTAACATGTAGATTGTAGGGCAACTCCTAAACATAATATGGAGCTGTTAACTCAGCTGCAGTACTGAAATACTATAGTTCCTGCGTGACTATTTTAACATGCTACAAGAAATCATAGGCTCACTTTCACATTTAACACACATTTTGCTGCTATTACGTATATTCAATATAGTTTCAAATGCAGGACTTTTGCATTTAAACAAGGATTTCTCTGTTATGATACAGTATAGAAGTTAGTCAAAGGATGACACTGTACACCTTAAGTAAAACACCACATTGCTAATGTTCTGCAAGTACACTTTATTACCACATAAGCAGTACAGATAATTTACATCATAATTTGTCTAAATATATTTAAATATAGTTTGTTTTCTTTGTGGGTTTTGACAAAGGCACTCACCAATGCGTGTAACATGGGTATTAAACAAGGAACAGTCATTAGGTGGGTTTTTGTGCAAAATCTTATAAGTATAGTACATGGTATGTGTGTCACAAACATGCACACACATTGAAGGACACAAAATATATCTCTGGAGAATTTAACCACACTCTCATATGTAGTCAAGACAAAAATAAACACCTCCTTCATAGGATTGTCATTTGGCAGTATTAACCTTTGGACCTCAACACACATTTGGCTTTTCAGCAGGTCAGTCAAGTCATTTGGCAGTTTGAACACATGGAATATAGAAATATACACTACACCAGTACCACACAGTCAGCTGAGCCTCTCGAGGGCTTGAAGAACACTGCTGTGGAATAAGCCTGTCTGCCCACTGCTCTCCTGAGTAACCAGAACCCGTCCGTCGGGTCGAAGTCTGTGGACGAGGACGAGCTCTCCTTGAAGCAGACTGAGCTCGGAGTCCTTTTGGGCTAAATGCGTTGTGGTCACTCTGTGTCTGAAAAAAAAGAAAAAAATGCCTGAGGTTTTTGTCAAGTCCATCAAATCAATAACATTTTTTCAAGTCTACCTCATCTGTCTGTTATTTTCAAGGGCAAACACACAGATCCAGCAAACCTGCTTGGGCTGAACTGAGCTGATACAGCTGGTAGCAACAGCTGTGACGGCATCGTTTTTTGTGGGTTAGAATTTAGGTCTGAGATGGCTGTTTCGATGCCTTTCCTGAGAATAGGAGCTTTTCCTTCTTTGAGAATGATTCCTGGTCCATCTCTTCCCAGGGTGAGCGATGGGGCCCAAACTTCTAACGGAGGGGGACCTGGTCGGCAGTTGGCGGGAACCTGATTTCCTGAGGACCAGGAGGAGGTCCGAGGCCTTGGAGGAGGGGAGTCTTCTTCTGTGAGGAACCGTACTGACTTTGCAGGCTAGGAAAGTAAAACATTTACTGTAAGGCACATGCAACGGTCATCAAAGGAAGAGTTTGAGTTTAAGTACAATGCATACACAGTACATAACACACAAGAAATCATCAGTATGCTATTACCTTGTCTGTATTGTTCTTGTGTGAGTCAGGTCTGACTAGAATTGAGTGAGGCCCATTGGTAGGCTGTCTGTCATGCTGAAATGTTGCTTCACGTGAAGCAGTGAAGTCCCTGTCCTTCAGGACTGCAGCAGCAGAGGGTGCTGCTCGCTCAGTCATCCAGCCTAGTGGTCTTCCAGAGTTGGACAGGATGCTGCTGTTTTTCTTTCTCTGCATGGCAGGTGAGTAGCCAGACGCCTGAACTTGTGCAAAGTGCTGTGAGTTGGATGGGACGTTCAAAGTGGACGTATAGGATAAATGGTTCGAGCCTGAAAAAAACATTTAAAAGACCAGGTGACATCTCTAATTGAATCAAGATATTAGAAGACAACTGTGGTTGTTTAACACTCACCTCTATGAGGATTAAAGATACGCCTCACAGTGTCCCAACCTTGTGAACCCCCATAGAAGGACGGTTTTCCAGTGCCAGCGGATGATGTAGCATGCTGTGCTCCATTTGGTACAGAGGGGACCTGTCCTGTTGAGTATATTGCTCCATCAGCATTCACCCTATCAAGAGCGAGGACCACAGCAGGATTCTTAGCAGCAGTAGGTTTCTTTCCAGCTACTGTGTTGTACTGTGAGGAAGCATTGGCTGCTTTGGTCTCCAGGAGTCTGGCCGAGGTTCTGCAGTGAGGCAGTGAGACACATTAGTAAAAACTTAAGTACCTACATTATGTTCATCACACTGTGAAAAACATGATTTGTGATTCACCAAGAGTGAGCCTCAGTTAAACAGTGTTATATTCCTCTTTCATGAATAACTGAAATGTGACATATCATTCTGCCCACATTAAATTACTGTCTGAATCCAAATGTCATTTTGCTCCCACTTCCTGCAGTCATGGATCACAGCCTCTCACCTGAGTACAGGCGTGATGTAGTTGCTGGGCAAAATACCCACTTTGCCCGTTCTGAGCGATAGCCCACGCAGCCAGCCTTCTTTGAACTTTCCATACACGCCCACCATCTCTCCTTTCCTCAGCTCCAGCTCCTCTGGCTGTCGTGGTTTGTAAGAGTACAGGACAGCACACCTGACGAGTCACACAGAGAGTTTATATATGTTACTGCTACACTATAATATACATCCAGATTATGCTGCCTTTTTTGTGGGTATTTGAGTGTTTGTTTCTTTTTCTATTCATATCTTGCAACTGTGACCCTACATTATCATACCATTAATATAATGTTTAAAACAGTGACTCACACACTGATGGAAAGCTGCTGCGTGGAGGAGTTTTTGCTGTCTGCGGAGGCAGAGGACATTTGGGGGTTCACCAGAGCCATAGAGATGGTGGGTGGAGTCTCGCTGGTCATCTTCTTCTCACTCTGTAATGGGACGGATTCAAAATTATCAACATATGGAATGCATGGCACATTATTTAAGAACGCAATATGAAAACAAAAAGACGTTTAGGCTGTAATTTGGCACAACCATGCTTTAAGCTAAATATTATCGTTGGCATACTAACTCTTTGATGTTTAGCAGGTAGGCTGTAATGTTTAGAATGTTCACTGTCATTGTTTAGCCTCTTAGCATGCTAGCAGTTTCTAATTCACTCTAAATACAAAGTACAGCTGCGGCTGGTGTGAATGTAAATAGTTTTTAAGGTATTTGACTACAACCCAAGTATTGGAGAAATTTAAAATTTTGACCTGATGATGGCACTAGATTAAAAGTCAGGATGTAAATTAATGTGTGCACAAAAATGTCAATTCATCCAACATAAACCAAATATCCAAGATACTTCATTAAAAGCCAAAACTGTCAAACCGCTGCTTTCTCTAAAGGAAAAGGGGATCACCAAAGTCATTAGCATTCATCCTCTGGCCAGCATGAAAGTCTGCACAAAATTCAATGTTAATCCGTCTGGTAGGTGCTGCAATATTTCAGTCTGAACCAAAGTGGTAAAATGAGCAGAAAAATCTGTAAAGACTGTAACTTTAGATGATATCTACTTGATTTGTCTAATTCAGACTGCAGAAGCCTAATTTTAACTAAATTTAAACTTTGGAATACACCTTCGCACAGTGCGAGGACTGTGCAGTTTGTCCTCATCACATCAGGAAGGGATCTCTCCAGTGTGAACAGGAGGAATAATTACAGTGAGCAAAGATTGTTTGAAATGGAATGTGTGTATTGTTTTAAGACAGATGTGCGAAAATTTGGGACCTATCCTTTAATATCTCCTTTCTCATAATGCCAGCTGAACAAAATATTCCCCCGTTTGGTGTTTTTATGATGGTGATGTAGAGGCCTGCCCAACACAAACGTTAGATTACTCATCAAACCATTCACTGGACCTTTGTGTCTCTTATGGAAACTCTCTATGTTTCTCTGTTCATTTATTCAAATTTTTTTCTTTGATATTTCTTCTGAAATTCTGTATGGAAATCATAATGCATACATTTTCAGCCATGTAAAATGCACTAACAGTAAAAGTATATATAATGGCATGACAAAGTTCTGCTTCTCTTTTTAAAGCTGAGAGCTAAGAAACTCTGACAGGCTTGAAATCAGCAGACTGTGAGTCAGACCTGGTACAGCCAGTGATTAGCAGGGAGTGACACTGAGGTGTGTCTCACAAACATTAATGGCACAGTATGAAGCCTAATCCCTACCTACTTTATTCCTAAACGATCTCACTGAAAGAGGGTCTTTTAGTGAGATCTTTATTATATTTCTATTTTCTCTTCTGACCAAACAAACCATACACACATAATTGTTTCTTATCTTTATCATTATAGAGAGGAGGAAATAACTTTCCCAGTGTCTATTATCTCCTCTGTGACATTTACTGATGCTTACTGCTATTTACAGCACTACCACTCAACTTCTACTTAAAGCATGAATGCTGGTCTGAGAGCCCGGGGTTTCCTCTATACAGTGTTGTTTGTCCCTGGATCCAACAGCTCTCCCACCATTAAACTGCACTGCATTCACACTATAACTCAGAAGAACACAAAGAGAGTCATAATTAGGATGCAGCCTATGCTATAAGCACAGTCTCTCTTGTCAAAGGCAGTGCTATGAGGCAGAAGTAAAAAGAGATAAAGTTAGGATGCAGTTAGTATGTCCTGAAGACATAACAGCCTTATGTCATACAGGAGAGTGGAGGGGTGAGCATAACTGTCATATATCACCAGTAGATGGTAAGAATTTTCTGTCCTTGTAGTGATTTTTTCAAATCAATTTTAGTATAGAGTTGGGGGAAAGGTGAGAAAGTAGTAAACACCTTTATTAATCACTATCTTTTAATAGAAAGCACTGCCATTTATTGAAAAATGTTGTGTAACACAACAAGAAAAAAGCCAAATAACTATTTTTCTTATGTATTAAATTATTCAGTTCTTTCCGTTACTTTGTGTCCTTTTTCTATTCTTGGTTTGTGTTTTATCAGATACAAAGAGCCGACTTCAGTTGTGCTGCAGTCACGCAATGGCCAGGTGCAATGACCCAGCAGCAGCAGTGGCTATATTTATGGAGAGAGCAATTCCACTATTGCTCATGTAGTGAATACAGTCTTATTTTGTATGAACTGTTCCTGCAGTCAAATCCTTGCTGCCATAAATAATCCACTTAAAAGAATATTAATGTTGCATAAAAATAAAGAAACCCAAAGTGTTCAAAATTAAATAAATAAATAAGTCATAATGAAATAAATATTCACATGAGTAAATTAAGAACAAATTATTATACATCGAGAAGTTTTTGAAATAATCCAATATTTCAAAAACTCTTCTCATCATTATGAAATTTTACTTCATCCCATTTTTTTCACAATATAAACATTTATTGCAGGACATTCTTATTTTATTCAAGCATTTTTTACTTCCTTTTTCCAAAAACTTTTCTATGTCACAACAGTATTTTTCCCAATGACTACTTTATTTTATACTGTCACTACAATCTGTCTGTCAATCAAGACAGACAGTGCAGAGCCAGCTATGTGACTGGACGTTCATTAAGACTGAGCAAACAGCCAATTAATCTCTTTGGTCTGTATGCAATAAACTGCAATAAAATAACATTTTATAATAATGAAACAATCATTCATTATCATCCATCAGTCGATGATTGAATCATCATTCAATCATCAACTCATAGTTTTGTATACATTTCATTTGTTTTTATTCCAAAGACTGTTTATTCCATGTTGTTTATTTATTTAATTTTAAACATTTTGAGTCTCCGTAGATTGCTAAATTATGTCTTTCAATTTATCAGTCAATAACCAGATTTCTTAGTCATCATTTTAAGAACTAAATTCCCTTTGCATAGCAAAGGTCTTAACTGTATACAGAACTCAGAGCTCTAGCTTTCAACATTGGCACCTTCAGCAAAAAACTAAACACCCCCTAATATCAGAAATCTGTAGCCACTATTTATTTATAATCATCTTGTCACAAAGAAAAAGACAGCAGCATGTCTTTCTAATGTGTGTTAAAGTGACACTCAAAAACAGTTTCAGAAATAAATAAATTGTGGTTTTGGACACACAGGACAGGCAACATTATTGTTGCAAGATGAACACAGCGAAAATGTGCCAGAATTACTGATGTGAAGACCCTGCACACCCACACAGGTGTTTTCAATTACTCTGGCTAATTAGGCCTCTAGTCAGGGTGAAGTTGGCTGGAGCTCTGCTGGAAATTACATAATGCCACCCATCTCTATTAGACAGTAGCATTAGGCTCAGTTTGAGACTAGCCAGGTCTGCACTAATTCATCTGCCAGAAATCAACACACAGCATGACAGTTTCCCTCAGATTTCTGTCCCACTTGATCCCGACATACAGTGCCATCAAGCTGACAACAATTACCTTACAAGATTAAGGCAGCTGCAGTTTTCCGTAGTTGTTCTCCAATGGATACCAAGACCAGATATCAATGCCTGGCTGTTCCCTGATCTAAGAGCTCACTTGCTTAGATGTGTGACCAGAAAAACTACGCATTGTAGCACGTCTTTTTGAACTGAATTTTTATTAGTCACATTTTGCACTATGAGAGGTTATTTTTTAAACACAATAAATTTTCTGTGGTTGATGACAACTTTTGTGAGCCCAGTGAGGCTGAACAAATGAATTCCAAATATTCAAAAATACAAAAAAGAAGTGTATTGGTTTGTAATAGCTGTAAAGGAACAGGCGCAAAGTGAAGAAATAACATCTGGTGCAAACTAATGTCAAGCCACAACAGTCTAATTATGCCATATGACATTATAAATGATGGAAACTTGCATCCTGTATTCCTGCTTTTCCTCACTCTGTTACTCTAACTGTTGTCAATATTTTGACTATTAATTGGTGTTTTGAATGTCTTTATTTCTGGATAATAATAATCTATTAAATACTGAGGCTTACGTATAAACGCTACCATGTCATTATCACTGATATACTGCAATTTTATACCTTACCATGCAGAGCATGATTTCAACAACATTGATCGGTTAAATGGGTAAAAGCTGAATAGATTGGTCTTATAAATAACCTTTCATTCAATCAAGATATTGTCTAACTTTCTGTAATGTGTATTCTAGACAACCTAATGGAAATGTCTCAACTTGATGCAGTGGCAGCTCTTGTTCACTTTCCAGGTGAGTTGAACTTGATCTCAAATGCCTGTTGATAATGAAGTAATTTGTCCACTCTAAGAGATGCAACAAAGCCAGATGTCAGTCTGCACATGCCCACACAGGATTAAGGAGGTCAACATAGGTGAAAACACCCATGTGGGTGCACAATGAGGGGTTAGAGAGGGTATGGAGGGTATGCAGAGTTTGTTGCATGTTAGGGATGCAACTAAGACCCAATGATTTTTACATTACTATCGTGTAAGAAAAAGGAAAGTTGCAAATCCTACAATCTGAAAAGCAAGAGAATGATTGCTTGCAAAAGTACTAAAAATTTTTATTTCATCATGTCTTGAGTATTGTAACTCCCTCTGCACCTGCCTCAGCAAAACATCCCTAAACAAATGGCTCCAAAATGCTGCAGTTAAGTTCACAAGCATGCAGGTTCTCTAACATGTCTTGTGTCACAAACCGATTTCTCTTCACTGACTCCAGAGCAAATTCAGAGTTCAATTCAAGATTCTTATGATCACTTTTTGAGCTCTGCCATGTCAGGCACCTTAGTACATTACAGACATGCTGCAGCCCTGTGTCACCAGTAGGTCTCTAAGGTCCTCTAATTAGGGTTTGTTGGGGTTTTTTTTCTCGCTACAGTCTTAAAATTTAAGAGTTTTTGAGGGCGTGGCTTCTCTCCTGTTAGGGTTAGGGTTGAAGATTAGTGGACATTGTGGACATGTTTAAAAAGATGCCAAGAGCCACCTGTTTAGACTTGCCTTATTTTCAAATATTTATGTTGTCTTTTTAAATGTATATTTTGTATTCATATACTGTATGTGTTAATTTCCGTTTGATCAACTATTCAATAAAAGCACTAATCGTTTCACCTCTCTGATATAGTCAATTCACAGGCTTCAGTCATTACTGATTAAAACTAAGCTTTCTGTAACAATGCTAACTAGTATCTTGATGCACCAGGGAATTGGGAACTGAAGTTTTATATGTTGCATTTGAAGATGTTTTTGCTTTTGGCTCATGTCCATGCTAAATTTTGCTCTTACATAACTATACCAATATTCAGACTAATTCATGCATTATTTCATCCACAGTGGGTGGGAAGCTGTACCTCTCTGTAAAACAGCCAAACCACAGGTGAGAGCTGATAGGTTGCAAAATTAAGAATAGCACACATGCTGGCTCGGTCAGTGGGGAGCTCAGCCTCGGGTTTGGGACAGAGCCCTCTGCTCCTTTAAAAATGGAAGTGCGTGGCTTGTCTCCTATTACTGACCCACTGATGTGAAAGTGAGTGTTACCTGCTTAGTGAAGAGGAAGGAGTTTGAAGGCAGGGGAGAGAGAGGGGTCTGTTATGTAACCAGCTTCACCAGTGACTCATCATCATCAGCATGAGAGAGATAAGCAGACACACTGAGGGACTCTCCAAGCCTCCCACTCTCTCCATCTATCTCTCATTTTGCCTCCTCCTTCTTCCCGCTTCTTGTCTTTTGCCTTTTTGCAGCTAACAAATTGTGTTTTCTGTTTCTCTTCCCAAATCTACGCCATATTTGTTTTCAATATTTCCTCTCACCCTTTCCTCTTCCTGTCATATCTCTCCCATTTCCTACTTTTTATTGTGTTCTCAAGTCTCCTCTACCTTCCTCCCGTGGTTTTTCTCCAACTTGCATGAGTTTAGGATTTTTATGCTCTGACAAGTATAATTGCAGGATAGAGCAGTGCAATTTGAACTGAATCAAAGGAAATCATTATCTCAGGAGGCAGGGCACTTGGCAGCAGGTTATATTATTAAACCTTGCAGAGGCTTTTACGTTCACACTGTACTCAGGCACTAGCTGGCTATGACTTGTTGCAGTTTTCACAGTATTTTGCTACACTGCTTCTACAGTAACTGGATGGCAACATGTCCAGCTTTACGCATAAAACTGTTGACAGTGTTGTGCTCATTAAAACCTTTAAGCTGAGGTGATCAGAATTAAATAAGTTAATATTCCCATTAATATTTTTACAGCATCCTCAGTTACAGTTTTTAGGTCCTTCTGCTTCTCCATAGTCATCTAAACATATTTGGAAAAATTGAAAAGCCCAGTGTTTACTACTATTTTAGCACCTGTAAACAGCTGGCTGTAGACTGAAGCAGTGGAGTTTCACTCAGTATAAGAATAATGGACAAAATTGTCTCATGGAGACATCATCTTGTGGATGATCCAGATGATGATAGGATGGACAAAATCTATCTCCTTGAGTTGAAAACAAAAAAAAAAAAAAAAAAAAAAAACAAAGACACACACCCTGTTAGACTCCTATTCATCTCTGATGGGAAACCCTGGCTTATGTCCCAGGACTCATGATTAAGGACCTTTCAAAGTTTCGGTCCACTCACCTCCAGTCCTCAGTCTTTTCATATTCAGCCCTATTCCACATCTGTGTTGTCTTAATGAGAAGCACTTAATCATGTAGCAGCCAACACAAGGGCGATGCCTCTCTTGCATTCATTCCTTAAGCTTTGTGTCATGGTTCCCTCCCTGTGCCCCTGAGAACAACTTGATCCCCTAGAGACTCAAATCAAAAAACATCTATTATCTCACAGAAAACCGCTGCGCCTTTTGCCAACCACATGTTTTCTGTTAAAACAAATCACTGCAAACAAAACAAAGCCAAACCCAGTTCAGCTCAAACATTATGAAAGAGGAATCTAATAGGGTTAAAACTAAGAGACTTTATCACATCAGTATTCCATGCATTCAGAAAGATATGTTTGCACGTGACTCGCCTGTAACAGGTGTCTGTGCGTAGTGTCAGAGTGGCGTCTACTTCGATGAGAATTCACTCGGGAGGGGTGAGAGTGGCCCTGGGCGGCAGAGTGCACAGAGAGGCGGTGTGGCTGACCCTGATGGCTGAAGCTGTTGATGGTGCTGATGTGGGTTGTTTCTCCTTTGGTCGTCTGATAAAAGTTGCTGCTGCTGGCTGCGGGCTGTTTCCGCTGGCTGGAGAGGGGCAAAGCATTGATCATGGGTGTCTTAGCTGGGACTTTAGGGACTCCGTAATGGGTGGTCCTATTGGATGCGTCAGTGGCCTTGTCTTTGCCCCCGCTCCCAGTCCGATGGTGAAATTCTGCTGAGTCACTCACCCTCCGACTCTTTCCCTCTAGCAGTTTGGCAGCCACTGTGTTTGGCTGAAAGAGATGAATACATAAAGAGAAACCACAGTGAAAATCAGGATAAATCCTAACACAGAAAATAGCCAATCCCCAGTCAAGAAAATCCTCTCCAACTCGCTCCTACCTGCTACTAGCGCCTGTCAACCTCTGCTCCTGCTGATCAGCGAAACGGCTGCCTAAATACACCCACTTATCACTACTCCACTCACCCCTACAACTTGTTGGACAGGCAGGCAGGGAGGCAGGCAGACAGGAGGATAAGTACCAGCCAGTAAGCCAGGAAGGGTTGACTGGTGCTGAGAGAGGAGCTGCACAGACAGGCAGGCAGAAAGACAGGCATGGCAGGGTTAATGCTTTCACTCCCCACAGTGATGTGCTGTTATGCCACCCAAGCAGAGAAAGCATTACTGTGTCTTCACGCCTGGCTGCACGACACGAGGAGAGGCAGGCTCAGAAAGGAGAGGGAAGAGGAGCAAAGTAGAGGATGAAAGAATAGAGTACAGAGGTAGAAAAAGATGAAGAGCAGCACTGAGGCGGGGCTCTAAGAGAAGACATGGGTGAGCAGGAGATGAAAGGAGGCGTAAGAGGAGGAGAAGACTAATAATAGGAGGGGAAATATTTGGGAAAAACTATAGCAAAACAGATGACAAGTGAGGGAAGTGAGCAAGAAGTGAATGAGGCACCACATTAACCCCACTGTAGGAACACATACAATTTTCCTCAGCACGGATGAAGTTAATTCCTAGAGGCAGAAAGTACAGAGGAAAACAAATGACAGCCAGATAGCTAAGCAAGCTCTGCAAACCTGAGTAAGCCACATAGTCACAGACTAATGAGCAGCTGCAGACACAGCAGGGCTTCACGGATTAGCTCTCTGCCTCAGCACTTTGCAGTGTAGGAGTGACATTTACGGATGAATCAAAGATTTGAATGAAAATCAAGGTAGTGCCCTGGCAGTGACCTGGAATTAATGACACCAAGCAACGACATCTATGGTTCAATTCATTACAAGAGCTGCACTATCAGAACAAAGTGCCAAACGGCAAGTGTCAACCTTGATCACACTGAAAAGGCCACAACCCACATTCAAACAATGAACGAAGGAAGAAAGAAAAGCAGAACTCACCTCTGTAAACTGCTGAGGGCAAATTCCAACTTTGTCTCCTAGCTTGGCTTCAATCCAGTGGTCATCCACACGTCTGATGACAGTGAGGACGTCTCCCTGTAAACCAGAAACAAGTAACGGACACACAGAGAGAACTCAACTTAGAGAAAGTGATGAAAAGGTGAGAAGCAGAGAAACCATGGGGGAAAATAAAAAATATTGCCAGGTGGTTATGGCAGAGTGTGCTCGCCCTGCAGACTGAGCACTCAGCTCAGAAACTCTCCGAGCCCTGTGTTTCTCCTGCAGCATGTGACACATCAACTCTCTTTGTGACTGCAGGCCTAGTCCTTTCTGCAGCCAGCCTCGCTCTAAGAACCATTTGACCATCTGCATTAAAAAAAAAAAGGCGAGCTCAAGTGTACTTTAATGGAGAGCACACAAGTGCTGGAGCCCTTATATAACTTCCTTAGAAATCCTTCAGGGTAAGTAACAACAACTGCAACAGAGGTCAGAGCCTCCAGCTCCTCAAGTCTCTCAAAACAGTCAAAAGAACAAAAAGCAATCACCATTATGCAGTACTACTACTGGGAACTTCCTGTGCAATACATAATCACACACTACTACAAGTTCCTGTCTAAAAAAGACACACCAGGTTGATGGTGAATGTGTTAAGTTTTCACTTTTCTAACATCTGACCAGCAGCCAAATGATGCCAAATGATATTAACCAGAGGAGTCAAGCAAACTTTATAGCTCATGAAACTGCAGCAAGTAACTATTTTAGAGCTGCAACAATTAGTCGATCAATTAATTGAGTGAAACTTATAATAATCATTGTTTAAGTCATTGTTAGGCAAAAATGGCAAAACTTCACCCTTCCCAAGTTCACATGTTTTTTTCTTTATTTTCTTACTCTTCGAGTTTCTGACTGTTAGTCAAACAAAACCAGACATTTTGCAGATAGCCCTGGGAACTTTAACAATAGTAGCAAATCGTAAATAAGTGGTACATTAATTGATAATGACAATAACATTTAGTTGCAACCCTAAAATCTTTGGTATTTTTTCTATCTGTACATAAATGAAATGATTTATCACATGAAATTTTAGCACTAGCACCTGCCCTAAATGTTAGCCACAGTTTCCCCAGGAAATTGGTGGTCAGCCGCGCAGCTCCTGCTGCATCTTTCTCAAGATCAGTTTAAGTAAACAATAGCAACACACAATTTTCTTTGCTCCTGAAGGTTAATATACTATTATTCCCTGAAGGTTTTGTTAAGTGTATCAATTTTCTTTGTGCACTAACTAAAGAGTAGGAAACCCTGGTAGTCATTTAAAAGATAAAATGTACACATCCACTGACTAAGCTCAATAAAAGCTTTTCCTGCTGCATTAAGTCAGTAGTTTGAGAGTCAGACCTTGAGGAAGCTGAGACAATATTTACTGTCTTCGAGATTCATTTCTTCTGGATTAAAGTTGTACAGCGCCCTGCAGAGAGCCAGCGGCTGGGACTGCTGGAGGGGCTGCAGCTGAGGCATCTGGCTGACAGCCTGCAGCGCGCTGGCAGTGACAGACACACTGCTGCTGTCACAGGCATTTCCTTGGTGCCAGTTTTCATCTGTTTTGTGTTTCGAGGTGATACTGTTACCAGGCACGAGGACCGGCTCTCCTGATGTATCACCTCGTTGGTTTCGCATCGAAGCTCTGGCAGCAAGCTGAGGAACAGAAAAAAAAAAAAAAAAATCACACATCAGCCACTGCATGTCCAGTGAAATGGTGAATTTATTTTGGTTGAATTATATATCTGAAGATAGAGAAATCAGTCTCTTTTGTGATTTTGGGATGTAAAGGCCCTCTAGGCTGCACTCTCATTTGAAGGTGATAAAATATTGTCTTGTCAATACTTTACTTTATTTTGTCTTTTACTTCAACTGTGGCAAACTGTGAGCAGGTGCACTGCAGAGGTCATCAGGAAACAAGAGAGACAACAGGCCAAAACATCTGCAAAAGGCTCAAACACATCACAGATTTCAGTCAGGATGAGTGACAGCCAGTGTGTCTCATTTGGTTCAAGACACTTTGGTGTGAGTTTTCCGGAGATCTGCTGGTAAGAGACAAGACTCTTCATGCTCTAAATTTTATGTTCTTATCTAGATATGCAGAGTCTAATCAGAAACATCCTTTTTCCACTTTAAGATGATATCAAGTATTGACATAGGCTTTACAATCAGTCTTTTTTTTAGTTCCACTTTTAGAGATTGAGGAAAACAGCACAAGAATACTAAATTATTTTCTGTAAAAGTAATAAAGAATGTCTTATAACTTGTATAATAACAAATTAGTCTGCACTTCATCTCACACTTAAAGGATACCAATAAAACACACATATTATATTTATGTCTTTGGGTTCAATGAATAATACCAATGGAAAATCATTTTAAAAGTAATGAAGTTGTTTTATATAATTCACTTGAAGGGAGGTTTTCAGGAATTCAAACCCATCTGCAAATAAAAACACAGCTCACATCGACACACTTTTGCCTATTACTATCAGGCTGATCTTATATTTAATCTGGCTCGTCATTCTACATATTATTATATTATTACTCTGCATATCTCCAAGTTAATGTTAATTTTAAGATGGACACACTAAAATCAACTGTTTTGATATGTGGCCTTACGTGAAAAGATGATGGTGAAACAAATTCTACCACATTATTCCGACCTGCAGGTATATGAAATGTGCGTCTAAATGGCAGAATCATCACAAACTCCCCCTCATGAACTTGGCTGAGATGTTTGAACTGTGTATGAACTCAAGCTATGTATTAACAAGAAAGCTCTTGAACGCTCTGAACAGTTTATAAAAAGAAGTGTAGAGAAACCAGCTCTCATCACCTCGGAGAATAAAACATCAGAATGAAATGAATTCTGAGTGAGGATTGACTGACTCTGAAGTACCATCATGATCCTCAGATCTCTGTTGAGTTTAAATCAGTGCATAGTGTCAAGTGCGATGCACAGACCTGTATTATATGGATAAATGATTTTTAAACATGCACCAAAAAACACTCACTCCTTTCTATCTTGTCATTTTCTTTGGAGATCTGCATGCTGAATTGATCTATGGTCTATAGGAGAAGTGTCCTGACAATAATATAAATTTGGAAAAGAGTGATATTGAGGAGTAATAAGCAGCTTCAGTTTGAGTTATCACACTGACTTCTTTAGTCCAGTGACAAGCAAACTAAAATGTTTTCTCTGTCAGAAACATAACCATTTGGTTTCTCTTTGTCATATATTTTGGTCTTGTCCTTCATTAGTTAATTAGTTAACTTTTGGTCTTTAACGTTTGAATCTTTCCCTGTGTTAATGGACACACTACACTGCCCTCAGAAATCAATGTATCTGACTCACTCCAACTTTTAACTAGGATCACTTTTAATTTTTCTTTTAATTTTAATTTAATCTTGCCCTGTACAGTGGCTGTTTGAAGTTATAGCACAGCTCTCCTCAGTAGCTTCTTGTTTCTGAGGAAAAGGAGAGGACTCAGGAGTACTTGTGTTTCCTATATTCTCTATGATGTGAGAAGCAATTCACCCTCAGACTGAAGTACATCTGTAAAATAATGATTTTTTTAATTTGGATTGGTAAAGACACAGGAAGGTCAGGGAGAGAAGGGGGTGTGGGGTGTGGGGGTGGGTGGGGTGGGGGGTGAAATGCAGCAAAGGGCCACGGGTCAGAGTCGAACCCCGGCCACTGCGGGTAGGACTAAGCCTTTGTGGTATGTGCTCCACCAGGTGAGCCACCTGGGCACCCCATAATTACAGTAAGTCTGGTGAACATATAGTGGTGAGTAAGTAATTCAATAGGTCCGAGATGAGACATATCCCCTATTGCACAAATCGCAAAGGATTAAATCAATGAGACATCACAAGGGTGGGCAAGATGACAATAAACACCATGGTAATATAAATTTGTAAACCGCCAAAGATTTTTCCTGGATAGCTCTCCCTCTAACATGTGTGGGTGCAGTAGGACATTGTGAGCAGTCTTACAAATCAATGAGCAGGTCTGCTTTATGACAATACTGGATTTTTAAATGATTTTTTCGGCATCAATATGTTAAAGTGCTCTGATTGGTCAGGTATGTAATTTGTTAGATTAGCCAAAATCCTTCTTGTGTAGTTATATCAGTCAAAACTGTTTCCCAGTTGATTTTCCAGAATAATTTTTGCAACATACATCAGTATTACGATGTAAAATTATTCTGTATCTGCCATGATACAGGATTTTATCCATATTCCACAGCCCTAGAACATCATGTTTAACATCCAAAAAAAGTGTATGTGAATGTTGATGAAAACCATGAATTCACGTTTAAAAAAATAATTGTTAGGCTTTGGAAATGGGTCTATATTTACTGTAACCTGTCTAAATGTTGATATTTCACCACTGAACGGAACCTATCAAGTTTTGTGTAAGAGAGAAGATCCTTCGGTTGCACAGTGTAGTGTGTCGATTTTTGATGATATTCTTACATGTTTTTATAACAGTTCAAATTCAAATAAGGTTATAGTTATGTATACTTTTTGTAATACCTCCTGTTTTAAGGAAACATCTAACCACCTCATTTGGAAGAATAAACACACTAATAACAAATGCCCCCTGGGGCAGAGTCAGAGTTGTTCTAAGTCATATTACTTCTCATAGATATGTAGAGGATTAGGCCGGGGTCGTGCACTGACCTCATTGTGGCCTTGCGTCTCTCTGTGTTGACTCTGCTGCTGCTGCTGCTGACCCTCCTTGACTGTCACGCTGCCCCAGGACAAGGGCACTGCATAGCGGCCTATGTGTCTGTTGCTGCTGGGCCCCACGGAGCCCTGGAGCCCCTCCAGGAGCCGCACTAGCAGGAGGTTTGTAGGAAGTTCCTCCACTGTCCTGGCTGAGACAGGGGCACAACATTGTGGACAGAGCAGCTGGGAGTGGGCTGCCTTCTGCCTCTGCAGGCAGGTCATACAGAAAGTGTGCTGGCAGGGCAGGACCTTGGCTGACACATCCAGCTGCTCCAAACACAGAGGACACTCCAGCAGTGCCATTAGAGACAGCTCCTCCATTTTAAAAGGGCCACCTCTCTTTGAGACTACGGCCTCTGGTACCTCTGAAACACTTTCATCCACCATACTGAAAAAGAAAACAATGAAAAGCTAATTCATTGACAGAAGTTAATGTCAGTAATTCTACAGCAAAAACCTTAAAACATTACTACGGACCAAATCCCTCCTCTATAAAACGGGTTTATAAAACATTAAACTTCACAGACTTCGAGGTGGTGGACTCACTAAGATAAGACACTTTGTAGTAAACACTACACGCTACGTGCTAACAGGTGTCATGTCAGCTCACCTGGCTGCACAGGTAAGACGGCAACAGGAAATATCCGCACAAGACGAAATATTCCCACATTTGTCTCAGTTAACACTCAGTTCAGAAACATTTCGTACTTACACATGGTTCCGTTGCCTGTCAGAGTGACATATTCACACAAAGTCCGATTAAGAAATGCGTAACTTCTTCCTCGGCGCTGTCGCCATGACGCAGTGAGGACAGGACGAGGCAGGACAGGACAGGGCAGGCGCGCAAGACACCAACTTCACTCGTTACGACAATTATGACGACATGAAACCTAGCTACCTGTAGAAATCCCAGTTTAACCATACAGGTAACTATGTCTCAACCACAGCCGGGCTAATTCATTAGCAACTGTATCGGATTTCAGTGTCGTGCGACTCAGTTTAACCCTTAACAGCTGATCAGCTGTTGGTTTGACATCATCATTAACTTTAATTTCGGGGGAATACGGAAATGTAAGTAGTAAAGTAAAACAATTATGAAAAATATGACTCATTTAAGAAAAACGCTTTAGTAGAAATGATCAGTTATGGATTAAATTTTAAGGCTTTGTGTGCTATTTAGCATCACGTTAATGCAGAAATTATTCAATTCTGCTCCTTAATGTAATGCAATAGGACACGTATTTCTTCATTCCTATAGTTAGTTGTCTGAGTAGCACCACTTCTACTGATTAAACTGTGAAAGAAGAGGGGGAATAAGAAGACAGCAGAGTTCACAGTACTGTAATGTGACATGGTCTCCCTCTGCTGGTGCATTCACTGACCAGCTCTGCAGCTTTTTTTCCGATCCCCTCAAAGTGCCAGCACAGTTCACGTCAATCCTACTTAAGTGAATGAAAGATAAAATCAGATAAACTCGACCGGAAACCCCTTATCCTCCATCACTCTGCTACACATGTTTGAGAGTATGAGCCATTCCTGTTCATGCAAACCAGCCACAGTTAATACTGGAGACTATGATGATGATGGTGCACAAGCCATAATCCATGTTTTCATCCGTTTTTGTTATTGTTGTTTGGATTTAATTTGCTCAGCCCAAACCCCAAATTCCCTTTCTTGCATCCCAAGGTTAAATAATTTATTCACACTGGCTATGTACTGAAAGTTCAGGACATCCGTTTGAATTTTTTAAACAAGCATGAATCTTTCATTTCTTTCTTCACGTCAGCAGAACTCGGGGAATTCTAAAAATGTACATATGGCTTTTACAGAGAGAGTGAGAGCAACAGGGAAAAAAAGAAGAGAGAGAGAGATTAGCCATGACTTATTTACATGTTCATATCAATGTTGATACAGGCCCTTCCTCTCAAGCCTCCCTCACTCAGTTTAATGGGTCTGGAAGGGTAAAGTGGAGCCCAAACAGGACTTCATTTTAGTTTTTTAATCTTTTTTTCTGAATGGAAATTTAACTGCCTGATGACTGTAGTGCTCCCATCTGCAAGTAATGGATCTTCTGTCATCCAATCAACGCTACATAGGAGGGAGTGCGGTTGTTTTGCAGTGCAGACAAAGTTGGTACATATGTGCTTATCAGTTCCCTACAGCCCGATGGTCAGTCTGGCCTCCACTTGGCGGAGCCTTGGATGTTGTGGGATGAGGGACCATGTTTGATGGATCTGATATATAGTCTATCTGATGGAGAGGGAAGGGTCTCCCGGGGGATAGCTCTGAGCTTGGTGTGCTGTCTCTCAGAATATCATGGCTTGTCACAAGTTGCTGTATAAGGAGGAGTGCCTTCTTCTCCAGCTTTCATGTTTTATTTAAAATGCTGTCTTGCTCAGAGAGTGCTGCTAACTCATTGAATGTGATCTGTCTCAGCGTTGCCTTTCCCTCTTTTCTCAGGTCTCATACTCCCCCTGTGTTTGTGGCTGTGTCTGATCATTTGGCTATGTGCTTCCGAGTGTATGAGGATGTGTCTCAGCAGTTTAATTCGAACAAGGTGTCAGTCAAAATGTATAATCCTTGTGCAGCAGTTTGATGAGGATTAACCGCCAATCGAACAGCACTTTAGGTGCATCAAAGCCCCGTAATTAACTTCTCCCTTTCAGAAGGAACTAATCCTCCACCCAAAACTTAGTCTCTGTCATAGCTGCAGCAGTTCCCAGGTGCTCATGAGGTGACTCATTTTTGTTGTCTCTCTTTCTTTTCTGAAAGACATATTGACTAGCTTCAATAAAAGCCAGCTTTCTCTCACAAAGCCATCATGTGAGGTTAGGCTGCAGTCTGTGTTTTAGTTGAGAAACACAGCAGTCCAGTCAAACTGGCTGAACCAGAACATCTGCAGGTTTTGCTTCTTATGTGCTTGTGTGTATATGCAGACACCTCAGCTTTTTATGCAGGTGAGGTGTCCACTTACATTGTCGGACACACACACACACACACACACACACACACACACACACACACACACACACACACACACACACACACAGTCCTGCTGACAACAGAGTGATACTTTAATGGCCTGCAGTGTGTTGTCACTCTGGCTCAGCCGACTCAGTCATGACTGCCTGAAAGCCTGGGAATGTAATTTAGGACAAAAATGTATGCAGAGCAGCAGGCAGCCCTCCGCCAGATGCTTTTTTTAACATCCATCCATAAAGCAACTTTGCGATTCTTCCACCCACAGTTTGTTCTGCCTGGTCGTCCTCTGCCAGCAGATTGAATCCTATAAATATTTCACATTTGATAAATAAATGAAACAACCTCTTTTCTTACTTCTGGGTAGTGCACTAAGTTGCTCCCCTACCTACGTATGCAGGAGCTTATTGTGGCAGCTCTGACATTGTTTCAGTCATTGCCTAAATGAGGTTTGGCTCAGGGACTTTTCATTTATTTTTCAAATGTGCATCAAATGCATCCATTCCGCTGCTAACAACAGAAATGTTTTTTCAGTAGTTGGCGCTCCTGTTCAGTTTGGAGCCATTATTGAGGTAGATTTTAAGATTTCCTAAAGCATTTCATGAATTAAATATTTTCATAACCATAACAGTGTCGAAGTGTCTCTGTGTTTCTTTAGGAAAACAATAAATATATCATTCTCTTTTTTTCTCAGCAGCCCGTGGGAGAAGATACATATTTCTGCCTTTCTAGAAGATACCAGAGTGGCTTCTTAGCTCATCATGTCATTAATGATCTTCTTTGACATGCTCTCTCAGCCTGTTGTGTCCCTCCATACATTACTCACATGGGACATAGGCTATTTACAGCTGACTTATTTGTCAGGCTGTAGGCCGTGTGCATCAGCAGCACTCTGGGTCATGTGACTTTACGCTACGCCTCACCTTTGTGCTCAAGTGTAAAAGTAACTCAGCCTAACTAAAAACACAACCTGAGGGAAGTGAGGGGCAGGACTTTTGCTTTAAGCCAATTACAACAGAAACACCTGAGCTTTCCTATAGCGTGGTTTTTTAAATTTTTTTTTTGATGGAGGAAACGATGGTGCTCAAGTCTTTTGGTGTGCAAATGCTCCAGCAGCTGTTTGAGTTGGAGATGTGCATGAGGGAAACTAAAAATAGGATGTGCACACCTCTGAGCCAGCTGCCTCTTCACTGCCTTTGGGACTGCCTTTGCATCTCCCCTCTCTCCTCTTTCAGTCCTCTTGCTCTCCCTCTTCTCTCAGACTAGCTGTTGTTACCCGTCTCTTACAATTTCCCTACTTTTCTTGGTCCCCGAATCAGGCCTAATGCGTCTGGTTAGTCCTGTGCTGGCGTGATAGACCTGAAACAGGACACCGCTTCTCCTCACTCTGGTCTATTATCCAGCCTGATGGGAAACTAGAACGCTGTGGCTCAGTTCCGAGAATGTGAAGTCTCTGTCCCATTAGTCTTGGATCCAATTATTTGAGAAGCACACTGAAGTTTTATATCCCTTCCAAATAAAGAAAATCTGGTGATAAAAAGGATATTGATATTAGCAAATGTGTGTTTGAAATGGATCATCCAAAAATGCCAAACATTTTTGTATTCCAAGTTGGCGGGACATCAAGCAGGGCTTGGTGCAGTTGGAGCTGAGTCTTTATACTCGTTTCCTGCTTAATAATAAAACATCTTCCATCTCAACACAAACTTCTCATCTGACATCTGACAATGGTCACTTTAGCATTTTCCATTTTCTAAGTGATGTTTTTGCACAACAGTGTGAAAGAAAAAATCCTGGCAATGCTGTGCTTGTTTTTAATTCCTAACAAAGCCTACGGAAATACCAAAACCCACAATGAATTGATCTGACTATCAAGTATTACCTGTTTAGCTAAAGCCTGAGCTTATTCCACTTTTGTCCAAAAACTACTCCCCTTTGCCACAACATTGAACTGGTGACATGACCCCTTCCACCTGACAAGAACGTATTGCACAGTTCTGCAAAACCCTGGAGTCTATTCAATGCCAACCTTTTAAAATTCTTGCTTCCTGCTGCAGGTAGTGATTATTTTCATCATTGATCTATCTGCCAAGTATTTTCTCGATTAATCAGTTAATTGTCAGTCAAATGTCAGAAATAGTGAAAAAAATACAACATTGCAACTTCAGAGTGATCAAGCTCACTGTCCAAGAGCCAAAGATATTCCGTTTACACTGATATATGACAAACATAAGAAGAGAATCATCAAACGTGAGAGGCCATAACAAGAGAATGTCCTTTTTTCACTTTTTGTGCTTGAAAAATGATTGAAATGATTGATTTATTATCAAAATAGTTGACGATCCTTTTTCTGCTGATTGACTAATCAATTAATCAACTAATCATTTCATCTCTTCTTTCTGCTACATCTACCATAGGATGTGCTTTAAGTTAAAGAAAGACTGTGATTATGGCAAATGGAATATGTTTAGGATTAGCAATTTAAACTCCATGTTTAAGTAAAAACACAAACCTTAAGTGCAAAGTGATGTTTACAAAAAAATTTTAAAAACCCAGTTGTTCTAGGAAATCACAAAAATTTAATTTCTTTTAATGAAACTACACATTTGTGACCCATTTTGAAAGATTAATGTCAGGAGGAACAAATGGCTTTGGGCTGAGAGCCACAGTCTTAAAGTATTTAGAGTTACACTAACACATTATTGGTTTTTGTCTTTTCATAAGATTTGTTGACGGGGAGAAAAATATAGAATAATGCCATCCTTATCCTTTAAGTAGAGCAGCAAATGGCTTTTGTGCTTGTATTTTGCAGCACATCAATTCAAAGGTGAAGCAGCATTAGAGACAAAAATGTTGCTCTTTTTCCATGAAGGACAAAAAACAAGCAGGCCTGAATGCATGTATACTGGATGGCCAATGAATAAGA